GGGGGGAGGCGGCAAGAGGGGAAGATGAGATATAATGAGAGAGGGAGAGAAAGAGAGAGCGAGAAAGCGAGGGAGATAGAGAGATAGAGAGAGAGAGAAACAACAATTTGAAAAAAAAAAACATACAAAAAGAGAGAGAGAGAGAGAGAGAGAGAGAGAGAGAGAGAGAGAGATGATAAGGCGTAGCAGATAGAGGGATAGGGAGATAAAGGGAGAGAGAGAGAGAGAGAGGGAGAGAGAGAGAGATGGATATATATATATAGAGAGAGAGAGAGAGATAGAGGAGAGAGAGAGAGAGAGAGAGAGAGAGAGAGAGAGAGAGAGAGAGAGAGCGTGAGAGAGACTGACCCGATTTGGATTCGATCGTCGATGAGTCTGAGAGGCGCCCTGATATCAGGCCGAGAGTTTGGGGGGGGCTTTCTCAGGGGCTCGCTGGGCTCGCGCTAGCAGTCGCTCCCAATTGAATTGATCGCCTTTTCGCTCGGGCCCGCATCTCGCGCATCTCATCTTCAACCTCTCGTCTGACTCGCCCCCATCGGGCCCCCTGCCGCCCCGCCTCTCTCGAGCCCCTCGAGGCTCCCAGAATTCAACTGCCCCAGAAAGACGCCCCGCTTCAGGACTACCACGCGCACAGCCACTGGGCTGGCTGGCCCAGCCCCGAGGTGACCAAGGCGCCCAGTGGCCCGACTGGCCTGAGGAGCCAGGGGGGGGCGGGGGGGGGAGGCTAGATGACCGAGAGAAGATGATGTAGGGATGATGAGGGATGATGATGGTGCTGCTGATGATATGATGATGATGATGCTGATGCTGATGATGATGGTGATGATAAAGATGAATATGAAGATGAATAGGACTATGAAGAATATGATGATGATGACGATGACGATGACGATGATGATGCTGATGATGATGCTGATGATGATCATGCTGATGATGATGCTGATGATGATGATGATGATGCGGACTGCCGATGCGGACCCCGCTCCAGCCAAATGAAGGGTGCCGATCAGCGGACATAGGTAACGGACAAACTTTAAATATCTTCGTTTCGCTTGGCAGGCCCAGGGGCAAACCGCGCCGAGTAAACGATGCGGATAAGGATGAGGCTGAGGATGACGGTAAGTAAGTAATGATGAGGCCCCTTTCCGCCATCCATCCTTTGCTTTCCTCTCCTCTCCTTAGAGCTCCGCTCCGCTGGCCCTGCCCGTCGCGCCGTCGTCTTCGCGAGAGATACCTGGATCCGCTGGCTCTCTGCCTCTCTATCGCCCTCTCCTTCGGGGGTCCCTGGCAAAGGCCTTCATTCCCTCTCCTGAGCCTTTCCTGATGTCTCGTTATCTCTCCTCTTCCCGATGTTCCCCCTCGCCCTCCCCCCCCCCCCCGCACCATCCCCAGTCGGGGCTCTCCTCAGACCCCCCGTCTAATGAGTCATGCCAGGAAGAAGGTGATGTCCCTCATGGAGTCCACCCAGCGCGAGACGGACCGCCCCATTGGCGCGTTGTGCCGCTGGGAGCACGGAGGCCGAATTCGCGTGGGACGCCGCGCCGAAACGTCAATGAGGGGGGAAGAGGTGCCTGAACCCTGTCATCTGCCTCTCTCCACTGCGCCCCTCTCCTTACATCTCGTCACCGCCCCCTTTCCGCTACCCCCGCTCGTCGGCCCCTCGCCGCTCGCCCGCTTTCGCTGCCTACCTCCGCCATTTACTTCGACCTGCTTACGCCCCCCTCCCATCCACTGCCGCCCATCGTTGAGCCAGGCGCCCTCGTCGGCATCGGCATGACCCGGTTCGGCACCCACTACCAACAGTCCAAGGAGACTTGGGTTCCAGGTCGGGTGCGCCGACACGTCTTGGCACCCTACTACTGCTCGCTTTCAAACTTTCCCCCCTCCCACCCCCTGCCCCCCCCCTCCCCCCCGCCACCGCCACCACCACCCCTCGCCCTACTTTGTGAGTGCAGTCCTTATTTCTATTTCTCTTCGCACTTGCCTCCCTCTTTATAAGTCCGTCGCATCTCCCTTGGGCAGGCCAGTCGCGGCAACCGCATGC